GTATGTACCGGAGTATGATGTGACAATAATCCTACCTTCACTTACTTATCAAATAGAGTGCTTCGTACTTTATAATGTTTGGAATAATGGGATGTAAGAATAAGCTTATTTACAAATCCCTACAGTATTAGATTCAGGGATATACAGAACAACAGATTTGTAAATTGTTGTCACTTATTTAATACTCTAATAATAATTGGTGTACTATCCACTCACACAATCTGACACACTCACACTGTATTCCTTGGAATACTTGGAGTGGGCTTGGATGAAACGCAGATCAAGTCCAGTGTGGTTGGCATTTTTGACTCAACAACAAGGTGTAAACATCTGTACCCACATGTGTTGGCACTAACCAGTGTGGAATTGAAAATTTTCTTGTAACTGGGAGTATATACAGGATATACACAAATGAAACTACACATTAGAAACCAGTTATTCTGGGTATTGATACTGCAACATTGTTTTGGTGTTGATTTTCCTCACCATTTCCTCCCATTAGACTGACAACCTATCTTTAAAGAGTTTGTAATAATAGTCTTTATTATTCATCTTAGAAATGTAATGGATTGTACTTTTATAATTTGCTTATATTCTTTATGCAGCTCTTCTTAGCACTTGTACCTGGGTGTAGGGGGCCTGAAAGATGGGCCTTAAAAGAGCATGGTAAATGGCTAGCTTAGGGTTTAAGGTAGACAACCAAGATGTCTAGACTCCTTTATTGAAGAGCCATCTCCTACAGTGGTATAAGGATTGCTATATCACATATTAAGCATGTGACACTGGTGATGAACAACAAAGTATTACAGCAATATATATTGTTGTGGAAGGGGCTAAACAACTCGACATTGGAATGTCTAGTATGACAAGAAGTGATGAATAATCAGGCAAAGCAAAGATCATGTGTATATGCATATGTATATTTATGTGTGAAGATATGTATGTGACAAACATGTAAGAATGTAAGCCATGTAAAATATAGTAATATGATATAGATATAGCTGGATTACATAAGCCCCTGCTTTTAAAATAATGGTCACCATCACAATCAAACATCTTTTAAATTCATGTACCTAAAATCAGTAAAAAAGTACATAAAAAAACAGTAGTGCAATGCTACCAAAAGATGTGAGTTAAGTAGAAAACACGATACAAGTATTGTGTGGAGCAGTGTCTGTGATATCATTATTGAGATTTATTAATAAAATAAGTGTTAATGGATGCCGAGAGTGCAATATTCTCAGGCTTCAGAACTACAGTGAATGGGCGGTGCTGAAGGAAACCTGCTTAAGGCGACATTGCAGAGTGTGAGTGAGTGAGCAGTGCTGAGGGAAGAGCATCCTCAGTCGGCAGTAAAATATATGAATGATCAGTTGCACTGTGAGGTGCAATGTGAGGAGAGGCTGGGGAGATGCACAGCTTGATGAGTCAGAGCAGGCCACACCTGTAAGACTGATGGGGAGATTTGGAGCACTGCATATCAAGTTAGGTCAGGGCATGACTAGTCAGTGGAATATTGTTTCTTGTTTGATTGTGGCTGTGTGGATCAACCCGCATGGCGAAGAACTCAGCTCATTGTTTGGGTGTTTTGGGTGGTCTGTGAGATAAATACAGAGGGGTCAGCAGTTGGTGTTGAGAATAGTGTGGCTTGCTGTGTCGGAGTTCAGCAGTAGGCAGGTAGTATTAGTTATCTGGCCTTGGAGACATCTCAGCAGGACTGGCTCACAGTATGAAGTGAGCAAGACCAGGAATTTCAGAGGCATTGTATGAGTTCATTGTCAGCGCTAAGCCAGCAGTTGTAGGGGGCTCGAGAAATGGGCCATACAAGAGTATGGTAGATAGCAAGCTTAACCCATTCGCGCCGGGTGTCATGTATACTTGACAGGCCCACTAAGAGTTTACTTGTTTAATTGTTTTTACACATAGATGGCTACACTTGTACTTATACCGTATGTCTCACCCGTTTACCCTTTTCTTTGATTTACAAAAATATTTTACGTTATCTTATTCTGCTGTTACTAATGTTTATAACATATTAGTAATTATAATGTTTATAATAAAAATAACCATCGATATTCATAGCACTAGTAAAAAATAATTTTCCCGCCAAATGAAATCAAGTAAGGCAGAGCCATCCATGTGTAGAGACATTTCACAAAAAGTACAAAAAATGAGCACAGCATTTTCCCCATTTTTTGTTCATTTTTACCCATTGCGAATGGGTTAAGGTGTAAGGTAGACAACCAAGATGTCTTGACTCCTTTATTGAAGAGTAATGGTGGAGTGTGGCTGCTCCTAGGAGTGAGGTGTTCCTCTTTGGATCCTTGCAGGGAATCTGCCTGTCATCTCATGGTCTAAGGATCACTATAAGTCATGCACTTAGCATGTAATAACCAGTGATGAACAAGGAAGTGTTACAGCAATAAATAGCTCTTGTGGAAGGGTATAGTTAACACAACTTTGGAATGTGTGAAGATACATTTGTGACAAACATGTAAGATTATATGAAATATGTAGAATATAGTAATATAACACAGATATTGCTGGATTAAATTGGATGACTTTTTCTGATATCAATGCCATCAAGTCCTTTTAAAATGTGCAGTATCATTACTCATTAACTCCTTGGATCCTTGGATGGCCCTAAATCTGGACATTAGGCTTGCTTTAGCTTCTGCTCTGACAGGTATTTGGCTTGTAGGCTCAGCCACACAAACACTTATATGCAGTGACAAGACTCCAAGCCTCTCCTTTGCAATGTTATTTTCCCTTTTCTGCATCAACCTCTGTAGCTTTTTTGCAATTTTCCAATATATGTTTTGTCATTTTATTTGTTTCATCCAGATGGTAATAGACTGTTTTCTTTGCACAGACTCCATATCATCTCTCAAGGTAGTCCATAACTCAGTGCAAAAATGATAACAATAAGTAACATTTTTTTATTTGAGTCATAATTTTTTTCATAATCAATTTTCTGTAGTACAACCTGCTCTACTGATCACAGCCGGCAAGAATAGGATCCTGAGCTTGGTAGTAGCATCCTCCCTGGAGCTAGCGCTCTCCAGTCTTGGCTGGTAAATAATGCAAAAACCCCTTATTGCATGCCCACTGTGTCTGATCACCATTCAAGAACTTTGTGCATTTGTGGTGAGTCATTCCCATCACCCTGGCCCTCAGCCAAAATTCTCAAGCCAGTGTGTTCCCATCACCCTGGCCTTCAGCCAGTTTTTTTCGTGATGGCATGTTCACTTCACCAGACCCTCAAGCCAATTTTTTTTGTTACATGATGGTGATGACATCTGGATCATAGGGGTTAACCATCACTGGACTGATCATTCATTTTCAAGTCACATCCAAGATGTAACAGACTGGGATTGATGGAAAAGGAAGATTATGAGCTAAAATGCCCCAACAGCCAAAGGCCAACAAGGGATTGACTTGACTTGACATAACTCATGGATCTGCAAAGCATTATTCACTGGCATGCATAGCTGAACAATCTCTTACCAACAGTGTAATTTGTATATTTGAGAAAAAAATTATGAAAGGCAGGTTAATTTAATACACACAAACATACACACACACACACACACACACACACACACACACACACACACACACACACACACACACACACACACACACACACACACACACACACACACACACCCCATATATATATACACAGCATATATATATATATATATATATATATATATATATATATATATATATATATATGTATATATATATACATAGATAGATAGAGAGATAGATAGATAGATAGATAGATAGATAGATAGATAGATATAGATATATATATATATATAGATATATACATTGCACACAAATATGCCAAAAGTCTTTTCACTTAATTGCTTCATCAGGCATACAAAACGAGATATACAAATGTATATATATATGTACTGAGTGGTCAGATCATGTTGGTAAATAGGCAAATGACAACCTCGGCTAGTTCAGTGTTGCAGTGTTTTAGTTGTTGGTTGGATGGATTAACACTGCTTGTACCATCTTCCTATGTCATAGAGGCAGGCTTTTTTTCTTGATGGAGGCCAGGGACCACTTGGGGAGATAGCTGTTGGTGTTGACATAAATAACGAAGGTGCTCCTTTTGTCATGATGGCGGAGAGTGCTACAATGTTGGTCAATTTATTGTTAATGGAGGGTCAATTTATTGTTAATGGAGGCCTCATTCATGAATGGCCACCGCTAGGTATATTGTATACCTGGTTAAGAGGTCTGCTGTGGTCTGACCTCTTATCCTTTAAGATATCTCCGATCTTCTTGCCAGAAGTGTTAGCTATCTTCATTGTGTGGCCCATTAGCACCTCCAGGTGTTCTGTCAGCTGCGAGTGTGGGATGATTATTCTGTGAGTTTTGTTATGCATGTCATGAGTTGATTTTATACACTAGTTTTCGGCCCATAACAATAAAACTAAAGAAGGCTTAGTTATTTGTTTCTTCCTCTGAGCACTTAGAATCTGCAGCTCAGAGTTCTTGGTGGAGGAAATACAACATGTCAGTAACACCTTCCAATGCCTCATGTCTTGCTCACCCACCTCTGATGCAAGGCCGAAGAGATTATTTATTTATTTTATTTATATACATATATATATATATATATATATATATATATATATATATATATATATATATATATATGTATATATATATATATATATATATATATATATATATATAAATATATGTACATATATATATATATATATATATATATATAAATATATGTACATATATATATATATATATATATATATATATATATATATATATATATATATATATATATATATGTATATATATATAATATATGTACATATATATATAAATATATGTACATATATATATAAATATATGTACATATATATATAAATATATGTACATATATATATAAATATATGTACATATATATATAAATATATGTACATATATATATAAATACAGATAGTCCCCTACTT